TTACCAGAGCGATGCTGCCCGTTTAGCTGTCAAGGTTAGTTCCAAGTGATATGAATGGACCCCAACAGCGTAAAGGCGCAATCTAAGTAAGGAGCTGGCAATCTGGCAATAGAAATCTTCAGTAGAGGTCCTGCTTCTGCTGCCAGCTAGTAAAATAACTGTTTGATGTGTTCGTGTGGTTTATCACCACCACCAAAAATATTTAACAACACAAACGATATTAATTGCACGGGTAGAGCAATAGTAATAGCGTGTATCTGAGGAACCGAAGTAGTATTGTTTAAGCTATTTATAGAATATTTTATAGCAATAAAATTATATACAATGATGAAAATAATTGAATTACCACCTAAATTTCTTTTAAAATATTCACGTTATTTGAATTTCTGAGCCCAACAAAAATTTTATATGATAACATTAGTCATTTGAAAACAAAATAAGGTACACAGTTGGCAAAAGAAAAAAAAAATGTCTATATGATAAAGTTCTTAAAAGGAAAACTTACATTTTTGTAAACTCAATGATTAATATTCTCATCCCTGGCGCGAATTACATCCGATAAACGTCATTCCATTAATTGGGAAATTTCAATTAAGTCCTGCAGAGTGTTGTCCCAATCTTCGAGTGGAAAGAACAGCTATTTCCAGTTCCTCAACGGTGCCAGGACACTGATTTCGGCTTCTTATTCTTCTGGTAAGATGGTCCCAGACTTGCGCTGTTGGGTTTAAGTTCCGACTCTCCGCTGGCTACACCAGGCGCTCAGTTTCAACCTCAATCATCCATTCGTGATCTGAATGGTGTAGTTTAGTCGTCCATAAACACAAATCTCTCATCAATGCTGAGTGTGAATGGCTATATGCTCTTTGATTGCGTCGTACAAATAACTATGTAACGTCAGGGATCTTCTCTGCACCATAGCCAACTCTGTACGCGTTTAGAAAGAAATGCCACCTCATAACATAAGCGAGTCGCCATGAAATGCAATCTGGAGTTGTATATGGCGTAACTTTCTCCTTGGCGTCTCCAAGTGGAAATACGGCCATCTGAAGAGTTGAGACAAAAGTTTCCTAGCGATTTCGCTCTGGGTGGATACTATCAATGTCACAGCACTAATACAGTCAAACTCATTTAAATGACTTACCCCAGTCATTGAAAAAGTTTGATGCATATGAAATTAATATTTGCCCTTACCTAAGACTTACCCTGCGCTGACGGTTAGTAACTAAAGACCAGAGGTGCTCAGAAGGAGTATTTATGCCGAAAGTTGCTCCATAAAAATGATCAAAGAGGGCACATTTTGGTGGGTTTTTGAATTTTTGAGGGGAACACTTGCACTCTTTTTAAGAAAAGGAAAGCAATTAATAACATTACTTGGGAAGGGATGTGGCTGTGGTGGCGGAGATCCCCACTGGAGGTGTGTACCCCAGTTGGAGACAGTAATAAAAACTTAATACAATTTCATAAATATAAAATCCCTTTCACTAACTAATTCATCTGCTTCGTGTCCATCGTATTTTAGGTTACAGATTTTTGTAGTTACATATGTAACTACAACACGGGACCAAGCTTGGCATTGCCATTAACATTACTGGCTTCCAGCCATTTGTATCAATAAACTAATGGCTGCCAATGATTATTGCATTATAAAATCAATACACTTACCCAGCAGAGATTTTATCCCAATTTATGAAGGCCAACACATGATTACTAGGGACATCTAACTGATGTAATCTCCCTCGTGATACATGTGGCACATGCACTTTGTAATATCCATTTGCCTAAAAGCACTTAGGATCACTAGCGCTAATTGTCTTGGCCATCAGGAGCAAACACATCAATTACCGTGCCATAAAGTTTGCAAGGGGAAGGTCGATTGATAGGGCTTAAGAGACGCCATTGCTCCATCTAGAGAAATTTCATTTATATAAAATGGTAAAAGAATTCGTTAAGTTACATAAACATAAATTTATGAACCTATATTGTCAAGTAGATGTTGATGTATTCTATAGAGACGATTGAATTAATTGCTAAAAAAAATTTATTCATTTTAAATTTACAACTTTGTCTTCTCGTAGAAGTTCAAATACTTTTCTGAAATTCTGTGTTTTTGCAACAAAAAAAAAAAATATTTATAACTAAATTTTTAGCATCTTTGGAAATTTTAATTTATGATAAAATTGTTTGAACTAATTCACGGTTTCGTATTTTTTATTTTCTAAATTAAATAAGATAATGAAATATTGATTTGTATGTACAATATACATTCTTCTAGATATTTCTTAATTTTCCTGTACAGTATTTCGTTTATCTCGATCATATTTGGAGAACACCTTGGATTATAAAAACTTACTGATATCAATTTTAGGTTATTGGAAATTACAATAAATCTTCACCTAACCGCTATACCTAAAAAAAGAACAATATTTGAGCTTGTATGTATGCTTTACTAGAGTTTTGTTACATATTTTCATGTACTCTCAAATGATATGATTAATTTCAAATTCCTTTATGTTAAAAAACTGTAGTAACATGTATAATGATTATATAGAATCATGTACAAATGCACATGTATAAAAATTGGAAAAATGTTAAATCAATAATCTTTATCTTCTCTATCTGTAATCTGCCTATTTTGTAATGCATCATCAATTTTAAAATCATCAGTTTAGGTAACTCGGAATTTTTATAAATAAATAAAATGTGTTTCTTTGCATCCCTTGCTCTTCTAAGCGTTATACTAACTTTGATCGTATTGGTCGTATTTTTTATTTTCTAATCATCATTGGTAAGATTGTAGCTAATTTGAAAAGAAGCTCCAAAAATACTTTATCCGGAGAATAAAAAGACGAAATAAAAATTTGTTTTTAGAATTTGCATTAGTTAATCGCTATTTAGTGACATGATTCGTTTTTTTTGTTTTTTTTTTCAGAAAACTCTAATCCTTCCCAATTTGTTTATATACACGAATTTATATGAAATTTGGTATACATAGAAATAAATTCTTAAATATTCATTATAAAAAACGCTTTAAAACTTTAGTTATGTTGTGTCCTTTTAAAAAAATTCGAAAGCCTTTTTGTAGGATTTTAGAAACAAAAGAGAAATATTTAAATATAAAAAAAAAAGTTCGTTGACATAATAATTTATTTCATTTATTTTAGATAATTATCATAGAAAATACCTTAATTCCATTTTATCAAGAAGTACTGATCTTTCTGAACATTAAAATTAATTATTGTTAAAGAAGAAGGAAGAATACAAATTTAATTAATGCACCAAAGATAACTTACAGATAAGAGATGGTTCTAAGAATGTGTCTATAGTTATATTTTTTTATTTTACTGAAATTTACAACTGTATTACATAGAAAATACATCATGTAAATGTGACAATGGTAACATGACATGTACAACATGAAGAGAAACTACCCATTGGTAGAACTAAAATCAAAGTTCTATATTAGAAGGTCCCGACGCCATCTTCTTTTCAGACACCTCGGAGGGTTATCAGGGATCGAGGAGGAAGCAAGGTTTCAAACGAGAGGATTCGGATGGTTCTGCAGTTTATTATGGAAGGATAGGTATCTGGATTGGGCCAAATCGGAAACATATGGAACATTAAGGTCTTTATGGATGATTTTATTTGTGACAAAGTAAGGAGCGTTGAGGATTTTACGAAGGATTTTGGATTGTAAGGATTGGATACGGGAGGAATTCGATGGTTTAGTGGAGCACCAAAGCTCAATCCCGTAATATTAAATATAGAAATCATTTTTCACACTCTAACTTAAATATAAAAATTGCTCAAGGTTTAGAAATGTCAGAAAAATTACAATGTATGATGTTTTGTCATTAGTTATAGATATCTTGTTTGTTATAGTTTAAAACAGAATAAAATTTAATCTATTTTGCTTAAATACTCTTTAGGTTGTACATAAGTGGATACGATTTATTCGATGATCGCGTTGCACTCCCTACTATTTGAATATGATCCTCTGTTTCAATACAAAGATATCAACCCACGTTATTGCAAAAGAGTTGGATTGCAAACATTCGCCATTGAAGAAAACAAAAGTAGGTAACGAGGGCCGCCGGGCAGATGTTTCGCAACCGCAATCTCCTCACCGAACCCGCTACCACCAAACTAGCGGTCCAACACAGATTTCGAATTTAAAAAAACAAAAGTGTTTCATCATAAATTAATATCCTTATTTATGGTGAAAGGAATTTACGTGATAACCATTTTATAAACCTAACAAGATGTTTTCTTCTACAATTACAATTTAACTTAATACGAACATGCAGTTTGTAAAAAAAAAAAAAAAAATATATATATATATATATATATATATATATATAAATTAAAAAGAACTAACGTGCATAGAATAAAATAAATGTACAATCAGGCAGGGAATCCCAAGCCAGGCTTTTCCCTCCAACTATAGAAGGAAAAGAAGGACTCTAAGAGGGAATAAAATAAATGGCATTGAAAAAATAAATAAATTAAATAATTAACATCCACCTCAAACTTCGTGGATGGCTTCATCTTTTCGTAACCTACAAATTTTTATCTAAGAAAATTCTCAGAAACGAGACGTTTTCCAATTACATTAATCAATATAATAAAGCACTAAAAACTCATAAATATCCATTTGCTTTCCACTTGAATTGTAAGATGATTTGAGCACATAAACGAAAAAAAAAAATTGCCTTCAAACATAGAGAAACAAAAACAGAACTATATAAAACATCAAAGCCTGTTGTGATATATTCAGCGAAAGCATGGACCTTCTGTATCTATACAATAAATCAATCAACAATTTTTGAAAGAAAAATTTTAAGGAAAATATATGGAGCGGTATTGGACGAAAATGAATGAAGAAGCCGGAAAATAGCGAATAATACGAGTAAGATCTTGTGACATACTACAGTTAATAAATATAAGAGGAATAGTCCGAAAAGAATTCTACTCACAAGAATGTTTAGAATCAGAAAGGACCACTAGGACACAGTCGGTTTAACTTGTTGAGGACTTGGCAGCACCCGGTATAAGAAATTGGAGGACTGGTTCCATATTGTCAGAGAGGTCAAGGCGGCTGTAGAGCTACTCAGTAAGTATACTGGTTTAGAATTACATTGCTTCATTAGATTATCATCAAAGTGAGGCCTGTTGAAACCCAGAAAGAAAGAAGTCAACCTCATGTACAGGTACTGTTACGCAGAGCACACTAACATACATAAAAACTGAAACAAGAAAAAAGGAAGGTCGTGAGAGGGAAAAGGCTTATTTGGACCGTTAGGTGAGCCGACGTTCCAGAAACGGTACCAGTCGGGTCAGGAACTGGGGAAAGGGTACATGGCTGCCTAAGATAATTCGCGGTTCTGACGTATGTACTACTTCCCAGGGCATGGAGGGTCTCGGGTACGGCGTATGTGAGTATGAGCCTAGGAGGACAGATAGGTTTCTAACAGGACATTTAAAAATATAGAAAGAAAAAGATCAAGAGGTGATCTTCAGAAATAAGAACTTCCCATCTTTTCTTTAATTTTTTCTTCCCTACCTCGCCTTTTTGGCTATACGGAGGTTTTTCTCGGACTTGGAGTTAATGCTAGAGTTAAAAGCCTCGGCACCGGGACTCGAACTCGCATACTTTTTCAGGTTGCCGGGTAATCCATGTTTTACACAAGCCCATTAGGCCATCCAGCTTCCCCTCCTAGTAATTCTCAGATAGAGAAATTTAACATATCTCTCTACCTCTTGTCTAAATATACACACACACACACACACACACACATATATATATATATATATATATAAATGTATCCTAAATGTATGTAGGATTTAGTAGGATTTGTATGTAGGATCCTAAATGTATATATATATATATATATACATTATAACAACATTATATATATATATATATATATATATATATATATATATATATATATATATATATATATATTATAATTACAACATTTCTCCTTGGTAATATTTTATTACTGATAAAAACAAAAGAAATGTCATAAACCTATATTTTCAAAAGTTTTATACTATTTATGTTTATTAACATTAGAAATATATTATTTTAATAAGGTTCTGACTTAATAATAAACATATGTATTCTTTAATTAGTTATTCCGAAAAATGACTTTATAAATATTTTAAAAATCTCTAATTTATTGAAATATGCGCATCAAGTCGAGTAAAATTCATTTTGATTTCTTAATACTTTTATTATTAATACATCTCTGGTAAACAGTTGACTTAAAAAATAAATTATATAGTATATGAATTAAATACCATAATTTCAAAAAGGCAAATAGATATATTGTAAAAAAATATTGTCTCATTTACTAAAAGTTGATTTTGAAATAATTTAACTTGTCATTTTAAACTTTTTCTTAAGGCTTTTGAATTTTACAAAAATGTTAGGTATTACTTATAGGTCACAAAGGAACAAAATTAACGAAATGATATATAATAGATAAAAATATTCATGCGAAATTCTCTACGAAGCAGGCAACTGTTTTTAAATTTAAGCCGTGCTATATTTTACAAGAACAATTCAAGTTCACATATTTGGCACGATGTCGAGGCAGTGTAGGGACCAGTCCCAGAAAGTTCTAGATGTTGGAATTCCTGTCAGGCTTTTGGCTCATTAAGCATTCTAATTTGGAGGCAATGGACGTGAATGGAGGATTACCGACTTGAAGGTGTGAATATGTTTATAAAAAAAAGTAAAATGCCATCGCAGAATACTTACTAGCTAGTCACCCGAAATATAAATATTAAAATCACCTAAAGGAATCATACTATAGAATAGTCAGTTGATTTTTACGAATTTCTTGGATACAGCATCATGATTCTTCCATTCCTTGAGAACAAAAATAAGGAAGAGGTTTAGAACTAGACAAGAGAATGAAAGCGATGTAGTTAAAAAATATAGTAAGAGTGTTCGTACAGGACTATTACAAATTGAAATCGCCTTGACCATGCCCTCGTAAATTAAAGAAAATTAGACCTTTTTACACACACGGAAACATAACACGATCTTAGCCAGCGTACGTCTTACTAATTTTGTCACATTGTAAACAATTAATTACTTTGCAAATTTAGTTTAAAATATTTCAATTTTCAACGCATATTCAACGATATCTTGCCTGGCACCATCAAATCTATGCAGACGATCAACGCTAACAAGGCTGTTGGCAACGTTATGCGGTAGTCTTTTAATCTCGCCGATTATAACTTACCTAAATATAATATTAAATCGATGGCTTACAGCTGTAATAACACTTGTTCAAGTCAAGCATACAAGTTTTATTTTCTGTTATTTTTCGTTCCTAATTTAAATTATAAAATATGTATGAATAGTGTTGCTCAATATTACTCCTTACATTAATAGTCCGCGTTTGAACCATTATTTGCAAATTATTAATATTCGTCACTGATTTGATAGGGTACTAAAATCTCTTGAACACCCATTTGTTTTCCACTTGAATCGTAGGACAATTCGATTTCGAAATCGAGTAAAAAGGCGGCGACCTTCAAAAATATTGGGCCTCGTTATTTTGATATATTTATGATGGAGGTCACGCCAAATTGCCCAATATTTATGCAAACCTTTTTTTTTCCTAGATTTTATAATAATTGAATTAAGATATTTTACCAACCAACAGATTGGAAACGCCCCAAAGTTGTAAGTATGTTACGAAGAAATGAAGCCGATCACGAAGATTTAAACGTGTATTAATAAATTTATAAAAAGAGATCTGTTCAGCGGACTATATAGTATGGTACGTAAAAATATAAACTGCAGAGTTATTGCATTGTGGAAAAAAAGAAAGGTAAGCATTTCTTTAATACACGTTTCTTTTATCAAAAGTTCCTTTAGTGTGATCACGATAATTTTTAAAAAATACTGGCAGTAAAACATGAATTAATAGCTAAAAATGTTTCTTTGTCAACATTAGTAATTTTAGCCATGAATAATATTCCTGTATGAATTTGTTGAAAACTGTATTTAAGAAATTTTAGGGATGTATACATGTGGTTTTAATCTCTTTAAAATTAAAATTTCATTTCCAAAAGACAGTATAAAATTCCAACGATGGTTTAATCGAATTGATTGTAGTTCCCAATCATGTTGAGGCAGAAAACTGAATGGGATGATACACTTTTTTTGGTAAATGTTCCAACCTTGTACGTGAGAGTTAACTTTTATTTTGAGGATACCCCCATACCAGACTGAAACGACTAGAAACCGCCCGACGTTTTCGACTACTACAGCACTTACTAGACAAACGCCCTAAGCTCACAATCAATTACAAAGGACTCATATATATGACAATAATAAGACCTATTTGGACTTACGGAATTGAGCTTTGGGGCTCCACTAAGCCATCGAATTCCTCTCGTATCCAATCCTTACAATCCAAAATCCTTCGTAAAATCCTCAACGCTCCTTACTTTGACACACATAAAATCATCCATAAAGATCATAATGTTCCATATGTTTCCGATTTGGCCCAATCCAGATATCTATCCTTCCATAACAAACTACAGAACCATCCGAATCCTCTCGTTTCAAACCTTGCTTCCTCCTCGATCACTGATAATCCTGCCAGGCGTCTGAAAAGAAGATGGCCTCGGGACCTTCTAATATAGAGCTTTAATTTGAGGTCTACCAATGGGTAGTTTCTCTTCATGTTGTACATGTCATGTTACCAATGTCACATTTACTTATTGCATTTTCCATGTAATGCAGTTGTAAATCTCAATAAAATAAAATTAAAAAAAAAAACAATATATATAAAAATTATTTGAATAAGGAACTTACCGAAAAGTAATCTTCAGAACCTGCAACAAAATATCAACAAATTAAAATAATACATATTTAATGCTATAACCTTAAATATTTAATAACATTTATCTAGAAAAATAAAAATGATTAAGTATTTTATATATTCATAAGTTTATATTGTTTGGAAGTTCAGCATAAATTTTTATTTATTTTTTTTACAACCATAATAAAAGTAATAATTTGATAAATTTAATGTTGGTAAGAATTATATGATTTTGTCATAAATGTCTTACCATATTTTTGAATATGATGTCTGCAGTCCAATTTTTGTGTATACAGGTTTATGTGATTTTGCCACTGTATCGCCCTATCGCAATAGGGACAGTTTTGATCTTGTATCGATAAGGTCGATTTTCCGATGTAGGACGAAATTACTGAATTTACGTGTTTAGCCGTTGGTTCAGGAGGATATTGACAATTGTCCGGTTTGTAATTCCAGAGAAAACGAAGACACCATGCGCTTCCTGGGGATCTGTCATGTCTACAGTGAAATTAGGGGGAAAAATTAAAAATTGGTCGGATGACATTTTCGCCGGAGGAATTATTTAGTATATTGAGAGGTGTTAATTGGAAGGTCCTTATACACAGCAAGCCACATTAAAAAGAGTACAGGTAGTTATTTTGTGCGTGATTAGTGGAATGCCTTATTTATATTTTATGGATAGTATTTGTTTTCTTTTATTGTTGTATTGTTTATTATTTATTATAAAACGTACTTTATCTAGTTATGTATTTACTACTTATTGTTTTATTGTCTGTAGGTAAAGTTTAGCTGACTTTTAATGTTTATTTATAAAAAAAAATTATTTTTTATTTTTGAAGGGTGAAGAACTGTTGAAGAAATTTAAAAATATTATTAGGAATAATGTAAACAAATTGTTGCTCATTAATTTATAGGATATAAAATGGCACATATTATGTAGAAAAATTACACTGACGGAATTTTCTATTGTCTATGCGCTGTAATATTTATATGAATATTATGTCGTATATCTATTTGCTATATATATATACATGCATTTTTTTAAGGGGTGGTGGTCTTAAATAGACCAAATAGTGGCAAAACTATTTAGTCTATTTATGATCCCGGACCATCTCCTTCCCTGATAATACAACTGACCTCAAACATTGATATTCAATATCGCATCGCATGTGATATCGACTATTTTCGTAAACCCAATTTTAGGAATCCCCGGGGTGAGTGCCCTGAGAACGGCCGAAGAAATTGCAAACGACACGTCATAGTTCGTGCCAAAGGTCTTAAGAATAGTGCACGTAGTTCGGAAAATTCGGGCATTCTTCTAAGATGAATGCAGTAAAAAATAATTAATTTAAAACCATTTTAAGAGAGAAACGAACTTGAAAAAAATCTTATAATTGTTTTGTTCAAAGTATAATATGAAACTAGTAAAAAGTACGACTAACTTTCCCCAAAATCAATAAAAAAAAAAGAAAAAAAATAATGTTTCCAATCTGGCTTAATATTTCCTAAGTTTATCTTAAGGTTAACACACATATTTTGCACCAGATTGATATTATAAAAACTTTACATTAATTGTATAAATTTAATTCTAAATCAAATTTTCTACAATAAAAAAGAAAGTAAAGTAATAGAAAACGACTTTAACCATTTTTTAAACGCTTGAATTCTCTCTTTGATACAAAAATAAAACTAATTGTTTGTGACAATTAACCTAATTTGATAATTAATTAGAAATATATATTAGCTCCTAAGCAGGTAGGATTGATATTTGGAGAAATCGATGGAATCTAATCCCTTGTACAGGATGTTATGCATTGTAAGGGGATAATGAGGAGTTGGGTTTGGTGGGGAATTGTGATAAAATGAATGTTATTTTAGTGACAGGTTTCACTGGTTGTCTTGTGTCAGTCAAGTTAATTCGGAGTCGTTTTCGGAATAAAAAAAAAATTATATAAATATATTGGAGCAATCTATATTATACCAATATTATTAAATATACAGAAATTGTCGAGAAACTAAGAAAACAATACTAAAAATATTATCTATACGGAAAAAAAAAAAATAGTTTATTTCCCCTCCCCCAATTTGGTTTTCAATTACACCACGCTTTCACACGCTCGTTAAAAGTTTAGTGTAGTGAACTTGCTTCCACGGCTACGCAGTTGTCGTGACAATAATTACTGAAACCAACGCACATATGCAAGTATGATCACATGCAGATTTTTTAATATATGTATAGAACAGACAATAGTCATCGTAAAATGTTTTTATCAATAATTGGTCTGACACGTTACAAAAAAACACATCAGAAATATGAAGTTAGAATTTTATATTACAAATGAATTTAAAATACATTTTTTTCTCAATGGTTTAAATATTAATTTTTTTTAAGTATTTGAAAATTTCATGACAATCAGGTTAAGAGTAGTAAGTGATAAAACCATCATCATATTGACATGAAACACACCTGAAGCCAAAATTGTTTCTTGATGTATAAAACGTAAAACTATAGTGAAAAATTTCGATTTTTAACTTAATTTTTTTTTTAAACGCCATCACAAATCCTATACTTCCCATCGGTGGTAATGAAGCAAAACATAAAAGAATAAAGTAAACCCCTCTTGTGGAGATCCACTAAGAAAGTTGCTAGTAGAATTTATAAAATTTATTTTATTTAATAATAATAAAAAAATTCTTAAATATTTGAAATATTAAAATCATTCATTTATTTTTATTTTTTTTAAATGTGTTTATAGGTCAATACTTTATCTTTATTGCCTTCATCCAATTTTTGGTTCCATATTTACATACTTTTGATAGAATATTTACTGTATATTTTTGTGCTTATTAATGCATATTTTATAAGCATGTTACATTGTTTTTTGTTGCATATAAATAAGAACTTTAGTGATGACCTAAGGATAAATTAATTTTATAAATAATTTAATTTATTTCAATTTGAAGAAAAGATTATGCTCATTAAAAATGATATTGTTTGATCTATTCTTATACATCATCAAGAGTGATTGCCAATCACAGATAGAAGCCATCAAGGAAAATAGGGAATAGTCTATGAAGGGATGGGAAATAGCAAACGACATTGAAGCCTAGCACAGCAAATAGCGGAGCTGCGTGAGAGCAGCCAATGAATCACAGAAGTTGCGGATATAGCGGTTCCTATTGGCTGATTTGTCGCAGTCCGTTACAGAATCGGGTCACTCACCAGGAGGAAATAAGGAGCATCGCCGATAATAGTGTCGATAAGGAAGAGCTTCTCCAAGATTGCTTCGGGGAAAAACAGGATCAAATTTTCTCTTTGAAAAAGCAATCTTGTGTTGGAATCAAATTGATGAAAATCTGATCAAATAAATAGTTGATAATCTATACTATATATATATGCGTTTCTGTGAAAATACATTAATGAAATATTATAAAAATGTTTGGAAAGAACTGAAGAAGAAAAGAACTCATGCTATTCAACATCATGGGTGCCCATTCCCCTTGGACGACGCCGCATGAACCCCCGTCTTCCAAGATATTTTATTGCTCAATTCTTCTTAAAAACGAAAGTAGAATTAGAATTTGTGCCCCTCTCAAAAATTTTTATGGTGCGACGAATAAGACTTCTGGAAACCTCTGTCCCGCAGTATGAGTTTTAACACTGAAGATACCTTAGGTTAGTAAAATGTTACAATTACTATGTAATTGAGGCAAGAAAAATATTTTTATATATTTATAAATAAAAAAAAATGACGAGACTTAAATATTAATCAATAAAAAAAATACACAACGCGATTCAATAATAAATAATAACTGCTGAGAAGAGCTTGGGAATAATTAATACTATGAGCTGTGACAGCTGTCACAGTTGGTAGCACCTGCTACCTCACTGACCCCAGCTGGAACTGCTACTTAGTCCGTTATAAATAGCAGTTCTCCAAGATTTGTTTTCTTTGACCTAGTAAACTATAGTAATGTTGAGCAAACAGACGCTTTAGTTTCTTTTCATTTTCACTATTTTTTAAAAGAATTTTTTTCCCTTGGAGCTGTAGTAAGTTCTAACGGAAACCATGCAGATAAGATTCTTAAATTTTTATTTTTTATTTTATCTTTGAATGATAAAGAAATATTTAAAATTAGGATAATTTATAATGGGGTTATAGAAAACAAAAGGCGCATTTGTCACAAAGAATATGAAATTGCTTGTTCTAATATTTCAAAGAAAATCAAATGATATTTTTTAATTTAATGGTATTATTGTCAACGAGTCAAAACTGGATGGTATGGATCCATGTATTTTTTTTGTTTTCTGTTCTGAATCGGTGAAATGTAGTAGGTTTATTTTATTCTTTCTCTGCCTTTTGGAGACACTATGCTGTGTGGTAAGAAATTATAACTAATTAAATGTTATAATTTTTAATTTATGTATGTATACATTATCGTAACTGATATATGATTGTTTGTAAAATTTTCAAAACGATCTCGTCAAGAGGAGATGTATTTAACTTATGCTATCCTTTGGCAATCGCTCAACTACTGACCTTTTCCAAGTAAGTGTTCCTCACCTAACATTCCAACGTAAATAGCTTGGAAGGTATATAAATGGATTTGTCTCCGTCGTTTGGAGGACAATGGAGTATGTTTTATTACTGTACTCTATAGTGGTTTGAACTATATGAACTATCACGGAGGACGATTTCAGTTGCTCAACTAGTTAGCAATGACAACTACCCTTACTTCGAAGCTTTGTACGGATGAAAGTTATTAGTGGGGGTAAATAATTTTAATCTCCTCTTATAAAAGGGATAGGATAATAGATTAGAATGTGCTACTTCATCCAAAAATCCATATGTCAAAGTTACCATCTGGACCTACGCTTCAAAATTATACGAGCAACCAAAAAGGCCCATATACGTAAAATCAAACTTATTTCAAAGTTCAAATTTTTTAGAGCTGTAATTAAAGCACTAAGGTACGCTACAAACATTACTTTACACAAAGACCTTCACATGTCAACAATCAACGGCCAGATAGGGACGCACGACACAAGATTTCACGATAACTTACTGATGTTACTAAAACACTCATGCTGATTATGACCGTAATTAACATGTCCGATAAAACGCTTAGGAGGGTCAAAAGAAGTTGGTTAGGTGATCTCCTCGCCCAAGTACAAATACTTGATTAAGATATGGAGGGATGCCGGTAGGCACTGCCCACACCTATCAATGCTTTAATACCATTATTTTTTTCAACAGCAGACTGACTGGTTATCAGTATTATTGCCAAGTATGAATAAAGAGAAGAGGTCGTTATAGCGGAGTCTCTTAAAGCGTGGACTTTAGCATTCTCGAGTCCACGACGCCCGTTCGAATCCGGTCTGGACGGCTTGAAATTTATTTCGTAGCTGATCCACGGATCCTCGACCTTCTCACTCCGGTAAGAATACGTTTGGTTGTACCTCGAGAATAAGTCCTTCAGTACGTTATAAATCGCCAGGTAGGGAAAATCGAGAGAGAGAAAAAAAAGTGTAGGTAAAGAAGTTAAAAAAAAAAATTAATAATTAAATGAACTGTAATATTAATGCGTCATATTGTGAACTTTATCTCAGCGTAATATTTTAATAATCAAGGCAATGACGTCATCTGGAAAATGTCTGCTAAAAGAGGATCAAGATAGCGACGCACCGAAAATGGAAATTAACAAGGAACCTCGGGGAAATCGCTTGGACAGCTCGATTAAAGCAAGGGGCCCTTTACATGCAAATTTATTCCGTCGTGAAGATTTTAATTCCATCGGAGACAAGGGTCTAGGGTTATTGCAAAGGACTGGGGCTGATGGCGGACGCCCTGTTAAGGCCTTATAGCTCCGACAGATCTCCGTCCTCTGGAGTTTATATGCTTCTTTTGTCAGTTCGTAGAGAGTAAATATTAAAGAGAAAAGTATTCCTGGAAGGTAAAGGGTGCTTAAGAGGGGACTTAATCTCATTTTTTTATGACATCGTATATATCATAATAAACTTAGCTTTTGTGGTATAATGTCACTTCTTTATTTTATTTTTTTTTAAATTAATGGTGAAGTTACCATGTTGTCAAAAAATCCGTACAAATATATTATATTGCTAAATGTCATTAAAAAACAAAAAACGCCCTCTAATGTCCTTTAACAATATCCTTCTTATTTCATTTTCGCTTTTCTAGGACTAATTAATAATGAGGCAAACTTGGTATCTTCACATAAGACAGAGAAAAGAAAAAACTAGGCGTTATTTTTAAACGCTTTATATTACTAATTTATTTCAAGCTTATTTAGACTGTAATTTGTACACACGGAGATCAAGAGCTACAGTGAAACATCAAAACCAATTTGAAATTTAATATCGTTTTGAAATATCTTTTTAAGCTGGTTATTATTTTGAACAAAATAAAATATATCGACTAAAAGGTGTCGCATGTTGTTCATCTTGCCCAAAATAGAAGATAACTATCCATTCATCAGAGATTTGTTACGCAATCAAATTCTCTTAATTTTAATCTTACAAGACATTGATTTTAAGACACGTTTAGAAGAATGATGGTCTTAGGAAATATTAATTCCTATTAATTAATAATATTTAGCGATTAACAAGACCAGATACAGTTTGGTATGCCTGCTAATGCTAGAATAAAAACATAGTCTCAATAAGCCTGGTGATGCAGCGCCAGATTATGATAGTTTATGAAAGAAAAAATAACATAGTTATCTGCGGTTTTCCAAGACTGGAAAAAAAATTATATAGTTTTCAATTTAACACAATGGAAGGTTGGTTTGATGTGCGGTATGATATACCTGGTGCGCCTGACGGAATCGAGAATAAGGTTTTACGCAAACTTTGTACCGCATCATTTCTTTAAAAATATATAGCATCAATAAATAACATAAATAATTCTCATATAACAAAATTGTAAACCATACTGCCATATTAAACCATACTATCTTCTGAAGTAGATAAACAAATAAAAAAAGAAAACGTAATTTAGACATTAATATTAACAGTAAGAAGCGTGGAAAAAATACTATTGAATATGTATCAAAGAATATATATATATAGCAAGTAATTTTCAACAATATAAGCATTTAAATGAAGGTGATTCCAAAGGAACCTTTTATGAAACCTCTTAAGTGAGATCTGTTATTTTCGGGCATTGACTCCGTGTTAAGGAAGATAAATGTTCTCAGGTATTCCAGCGTATCAGAGAGTTCAACATGCTTCACTGATAACAAAGACAGGCTGGTAAGGTTTAGCTACCTTACTACTTTAAAAATATAATTAAATATATAAATAACTATATTTAAAGATTATAACTCTATAAATAAATACATATATATGTATATATATATATATATATATATATATATACATATATATGTATATATATATATATATATATATATATATATATATATATATATATATATATATATAATATTATCTTCATTCTTATTTCATTACGAGCTGTAACAAGCAGATTGTGAGCATCTCACGCCAAAATAAGACGCAATGAGGCACCGCCCATAACTTTATTTTAATTTCGTCAGTGTATAATTTTTTACAGCAAAAGTAATTCCGACTTCAAATTAAATTGAAAATAAACTATCGTTTAGATCTAATATACTAAAGCCACTTTCAGAACCGTCTAAGTATCTAATCAATAATGAAAAACGAATACAGTAACTCCAGGATACCAAGTGCTTCCATTCCTACCCCTCCCCCACTCCAAGGTCGATTGCAAATGCCTCTCCCTCCAAAGAAAATTGATTGCTCTCCTCTTCTTATAAACAGTGCAAGCGAAAATAAAATTAGAAAATCATGAGTTTAGTAATTGTATATAACCGGCATAAAATCTAACTTTCAGTGATCTTTTCACGTTTTCGTCTTCTTCTCAGGTTTGAATATGAATGTGCCTCTGCTAAAAATTCAAAACCATGTAAAATGTGACTCTTTCAAAATTATTATTATATCATCAAAATCTTTGTTATGGTTTTAAAAAAAATGTTGATACAACGATTCCAAAAAACTTTATATGCATATATTATCTTCATAAATGGCCGAGATACAGGTGTTAGAAAGCCCTAATTAGCAATGATTTTGAAGCAAAATTCCAAAATACTTTTCGTACCATTTTGAGCGTTAAGGGTACCAAAAGACCCCAAAAGTAGATAGAACATCACCAAAGGACAGTGGACCCTTGAACCGGATAGCCGAGAGCTCTTAGGCGGCCTCAATAATTCAAAGCAGCTCACAGGAGCCATCTGCTCCAACCTTTGATACTCTCCTCAACTCAACTGAGCCATTGATTATAATATCAGCCTTTACAAAAGCATATTAATTTTTTCGAGCGAGTAAAAGATTATATTTCAGAAAAATATCTACCTGATTATATCTTTTTCTTTCTTTCTGCACAGTGTTATGACGTACAAAATAAATACAATTTCTACTAATAATTGTGTCACTACAGCCCATTTAATGTCTAGCATTCGGTACTGTGGAAGTAGTTCAACAAGAATAAAAGATAAAATATAAAAAATATAATAAAAGAATAAACAGGAATTGAACAGGTGCTTCATATGCTAGATAAACTCACCAATTTACAAAAAAACTTCGGTGTGTGTTTTATACCAAACGATAGAAGTGAAAACATCAACAAGGCGAGATTAATAATATAAAATATAATTTTTTTTTATATTCTAATAATTCTATTTTTTTCTATATTCACAAAGTTATAACATTTAAAATTGTCTATAAATTACTGAAGTAAAGTTTGCTCTGACTGACCATAATTGTTATCATACTCTTTATTTGATGAATACTTTTGATTGAAATCTATTTACTAAATATCTAATAAAAACTCCATCATTTTTAAATAAAGAACGTAACGTGGATCAGTTAATTTTTCGAAACAATATCGAGTACACTAGGTAATTGGATAGAAACACATAATTTTTTTTCTTATTTTTATGGCTAATTAAAGAAAATATTGATATTTACTTCCACAAAGCAATTGCTGCGGGTCGTATAATTGCACAGTAATGCACAACCTCAAATATCATTATTTTAGAAATATTCTTCTCTTTCTTAAACGCTCATATATCATCATAATCAAATTCATGTCTTGATACCTTAAAGTGCTGAGCAAATGCAGTATTAGCCTATTTAATATATGTTATGCTACTTTCTATACTTTTTTGTCGCTATCCTGGTAAAATATAGCTAATTAGTTTTTTTTTGGTACCCAATCTTGAACACTGAAGAAGAACATTGTTACAAACTCTGGATGGAAGTACTGTTTCTAGGCCAAAGGTTTGGTAAAGGGATGTTCGAACGAGATCACGCTCAACAGGTTGATTTCTCCTCCATTAATTTTTTAATAAGAACAGCCACTTTATAACGGCTGGGTGTGTCTCGAGAGGGTCTCCTGAACACAGGGTCGATCCACAGGCGAAGTCACAGAATAAATAATTACCGGCCCCAACCGGAGTCAAACCTGCGACTTTAGTGCCTTATTCACTGAGCTAAGTCACTCCTAAATTAAACAACTTCTCTAAAACATTAAAAAATTAACATCGAAATTTGCCATAAGATGTTATAATAGGATAACAGAATAAAAATCTATCGATGATAACTATGGCAATTTTTTTTTTTGTATCAATGCTGACTGTCCAAGAAAACTGAAGTCCGAATCAACTCATCTGTTCGTTTTTTATTATAGACCCATCGGTTAAATTGGATAAAGCAAAGATATCACTAATGTTACTACATTTCATATGTCACCGCAGGCCCATATTTCCAGTCTCGTCAATTTTATTATTATAAGAATTAACGAGAAAACTTCATTGGATAACACGATAATTGGATAAGATTCCTCTATTTCCTGAAGCAACAAAGTAATTGAATCAAGACAAGGAAGGAGTGCTGCTGAGTACTGTCCTTCCCCATCTCTGACATATCAACATTTCCTGTTTAGCCAGTTCATTTCCTGATTGTCAACATGCAGCAGTTGATTCCTGCAAATTAATAATAAAAGCCAAAACAAAAAAATATATGATTGCTAAAGACATATTAAACATATAATGTTAATTTGGGCTTTAGTATGTTAATATATGGAGCTGAGCTATGCCAATTAGACCATAAATACCAAAAGCTTGTCGTAACCTCATGTAAAAGGTAATCTATTTTTAGATGTAATTAACAAAAGTTTATTGGTTTACATTTTATTTATTTGAAGTTTATAAAACAGTTAAAATTATTTTGAGATAAGTGAATTTTCTCTATGTTTCTGTTATATCAACCATTGTTATCTCTTTTCCTAAATTCTTTGGATATTGTGTCAAATAATCTTTATTAAGCATTCGATTGTTTATTTGTCTAAGGGCATTCGTATTTAAAAAGATAATTCATATAAATTGTATTTAAGGAAACACCACAATGCTCTAACTCCTCGAAGATGTTCATCTTTACGAAGTCTTCTGATTTAACGAAATATTTTGACAATTTAGTTGTGATTTATGGTGTCATTGTTTTATGATAAGCAAATATATAATGTTACAGCTCATTGTAAACTTTTTTTTTCTTAAATTACTAACTTGTATGGAGATACTCTAATTTACTTTCGATCTCCAAGATTCAATGCAAACAGTTGTAAGTCAACAACAACTAGATTATTTTTGAAGTGAAAACATCTTAAGGCGCATTTTGCACTTTTTTTGTGGATAGTGAATTACATTGATCCGTCAGAAGTGTAGGTAAAAAAGTGTAGGTAAAGAAGTCAAAAAAAAAATTAATAATTAAATGAACTGTAATATTAATGCGTCATATTGTGAACTTTATCACAGCGTAATATTTTAATAATCAAGGCAATGACGTCATCTGGAAAATGTCTGCTAAAAGAGGATCAAGATAGCGACGCACCGAAAATGGAAATTAACAAGGAACCTCGGGGAAATCGCTT